ATTCATAGTAATTTTATTGATTCCTTGATAATCCATACACATGTTTAGTGATTTACCTTTTTCTTCACAAACAAGATAGAGTCTCAAGTTGGAGATTTTGAATGGCATATAAAAATTTTGGCAAATTTTTCATCAATGTATTCCTTGAATGTAGTTAAATCATTTTATAATAAGCTATAAATTGGTCCAAATAGTAGTTGAGATCCTTCGTAAAGATCAATTAAAAAATCATAAAAAAATATTTTAAAAGAATATATATATATATATATTTTAAAAATATCTTAATAATCTTTATACTAGCTTAGAATTCCACAAAGTCTTTCCATTATTAAAAGTAGATGTGGCATAAATAACACAAAGTGACTATTTATTTGCAATATGTAGGAAAGTTTTTGTATCTATAAGTAAAGATTTTGCTAGACTTATAATTTTTTACTTATTTAATAAAATTCTTAGTTATATTCTAAAAATAATATAGATTAAAAGAAATCCAATCTATTTTAAAATTATCTTTTTTAGCCATGATAAATTTAATATGACTATATTAATAAAAAAATCAAATTATACAAAATATCACAAAAATATTATGACTATTTTTTGCTACTTTGATAAAAAAGATTTTATAGACAACATCTCCAAAAGACAAAAAATAACTATCTATAACTTCTTTCTATAAAAAAATATTATTTTTTACCAAAGATATGCTATATCTTTTGATAAATTCTTCAATTAATATTTTTTACGGACTTTCTGTTTTCTGGTTCTAAAAAAATTTCAATTGTAAAATAAGGAGACAATTTTGAAGAAATAATAAGACCTTCATTAGGTGTTGTATAAGATTCTAATTACATAGTCTCTATTGTAATTAATTTTTTTTTTTTCAAGATATTATCTTTTTTGATAATTATATTCTTCATTTTATGGTTGTATTGTTTCTATAAAGAATATTAAATTGTATGTATAGATTCTTCACAATACAAGTACAATCTTTCTTAACAACAATTTTTTTATATTCAAAAAGATGTTTAAAAAGTAGGGCATTAATTTGTGTGTCTTCCACTTTCAAATATATGTGTTGAAAAAGCATTGATGTAGATTTTGAATTATAAAAATATTAAGGCCAACTTATGTAATTTTTAGCTTAAAATTCAAAAAGCCAAATGTTACACTTTAAAGCAAAGTCAATTGCTTGATTTAATGTTATGGGATCTTATAAGTTCAACATCAAATTCTTTACCTCATATTGTAATTTGTAGAAAAATTGGCTAATAAGTGTAGCATTATCTTACTTAATATTAATTATAAATTATTAAAATTATATAGTATATGATATTATTGATCAATTATCTTATTATAAAATGTAAATCTTATTAGTTGCAATATGAATTACCTCATGTTCTCTAAACAAGAATCAAAATTCTACAAAAAAATATTTTTAATTATTCCATATTGAATCATATCATTCAAGAAAAGATCAAAAGTATGATAAAATAGAACTTAAAAGTAATTTTTTAATAAATTTAACTTGTGATTTTGGAAATGAATAACTTTAAGGTAGGATTTCAATTACCAAGTTTATTTAATTGATATATTCTTGAAACTTTGATCTTGTATCATTAAACTTTTCAAATAAGGCAATTCTTAATTTTCTAATACTCAAACAATATTCCTCTATAAGAGATAAAATATGATTTGATAGAGGGGTTGAAGCAACTCCAACCATTTCTATATCTATACTTCCTACCAATCTTATTGTATCTTGTGGTTGTAAATTGAATTGATGCATTATAAATATTAACTTTGTAATTTGTTCTTGCATTTTTTCCATTGCATTCTTATTTCAATAAGCTTTGTCACAATAATATAATAAGAAAAAAAGATGTATAATCTTATTTAAGATAAGTAAAAAAAAAAACTTGACTTGAGAATAAAGAAAATTTTAAGAACAATATTAATTTAGAAGTAGATAATCCACAACTTCTAATATGCTTATGTCTTATGAAGAAAAATCAATGATCTACTCTTAATGAAGAAAAGACAAAGCTCTAATATTATAAGTGCACTCTTGTCAATCTTTCAAGAATAAGAAGTCAAAAAATATAAATAAAAAAGTAAGTTATTTTTCAAATAAAGACAAAAAAATATATTAAAAAAAATAAAAATGAAATAACTATTTCAAAAGTCTAAAAAATTAAAGATTCTTGAAACTACAATAAAAGTAATTTTTTTTTGAGAAGAGCAAAGAATGCTTCACTGTTACCTTCGTATATACTATATATCTGAGAGCTATGTAGAGACATTATATAGGACCTTTAATATTTGTCTAACTTGCAAGACAAGTTTCCTACATGTATGCTACATGATCAACTTATTGGCTAAGATTTTAACCTAGTAATCACGTATAGACACATATAAAAACAAAGTTATATCTATGAAGATTCTAAGAAGCTTCTTTACTTGATATTATCAAATTTATCTACTTTTACATACTTCTACGTATTCATATTATAAAGATAATTATTAAAGTAAATATGTATGTTAATGATACTAATTTAGGTACTTACATAAATCTTAAAAAAATAAAATTTAATGAATAGGAAACCAATATAGAATATATTTGATGTTAAACGACTTATTAAAAAAATTAATGAAATAATAAATATTAAACTTATAGATTTTGAAATATTATCAAAAAATTAAAGTATAATTATAATAAAAAATTGGATGAAAATAAGCACCTTCAAAATAAAAACTTGTAATTATAATTTTTACTATAAAAATTTATACACTGATTTATTTTCTTAGATAATAAATTATTAAAATTAGTATTTTAAACTCACCAATAATTTTTCCAATTATAAATCTTTAAAATATTAATGCAATATAAATTAATTAAAATAATTTATTAATTTACTTTTAAAACTTAAATATTTATTTATTTTATATACTATGATTTTTATATATATAATTTAATAAAATGAATATATATTATTAAAATATTAAAGAATATTCTATAAAACTTGTACTTATTGTTTAAGTTTGTTGGCAAAACTTACATGCTAGAAATAATTTTTAACTACAATAGGTGCTTTTACTTTATAATAGATGTGGTATTAGCATTTTGTATTTTTTAGATTTTTTACGACTGGAAATAAGTTATTTACTATATGGCTATAAAAACATATTAGAAATTTTAAAAATGAAAATTTATTTGAAAAATACACACAAGTAAATAAAAATAGACTATATATTTAATAAAATAAATCTCTATAATTAATACCTTTTAAAATGTTTTAATGATATATTTTATTAAAAATCATCATTAAACTATTTAGATGTAAAAATTATCTAAATCATATTAAAAAATATCTTTAAATATTTTAAATTTAAAAAAATCTAAGGCTTAATATATTTGTATTAGATATCTTTGGTTCTTAGATATAATCTATTAGTATGTAAATAATAGAAGTAAAATTTTAGTTTAAATATTTAATTTTAATTTTAATTTAATTTAATTTTAAATTTATGTAACTAAATGCTATTTGATACTTTGTAAACTTAAAATGATGTGGTTTATAAATTTTTAATAATATATATTATTTGATCACAAGAAGACTCTAACAAATTACATTTTATAAATAAATGAATATTATGAAATATTCTTGTAATATTTGGTATAGTAGTTTATAATTATCAAATATAGAATTTATTTATTTAACATATTAGATAATATTATTTAATCTTTATTAAAATTTGATCTTTAAAGTTACATAAAATTTACTTGCAAAATAATCATTTTTAGCACACTAACCCTAGTAGTGAATAATTCTTATTGACACAAATTATTTTAAGTTTTGTATAGTAAAAAAAAAAGATCTATAATAAAATATGCTGCAAAGAGTTATCATTTGCCAAAGAGATGGAAATCGAATGCAGGCAAGGATTTTGTCTATTTCTTGATATTGTATTCTTTCTAAGCTTAGGAAACAATGGACAAAGGCACAATATTTTCTGTAATTAATCTTCTCATATTTTCTCAATGAAGCATGCAATATGCACCCTCTGTTCACCTCATTCACTTAAATATCTCTTCTTTAAAATTACCCAACAATATTTGTTTCATATTTTCTTGCAAATTGATAGAGCAAACCATAGTATCTTTCTAGACACATCTACCTTCATCTAAGCCATCTTTTCTCAAGCATCTTCTCTTGGGCTACTAGACTCATCACCAAATTTAAGTCACCAAATGACACAAACAATTTTGTTTAGGAACACACCCAAATCCTTCATTGAATTGAATGAAGATGAAGATTTGGTGTTTAAATAGGATTCATCCATCTTAGCGAATAACATGGGTTTTGTTGATTATAGAAGGTAAGCCATGTGTTTGTTATTTTGTTTATTTGTTTGATTGTTTTGCTCTAATGCCTCTCTCACCGATGCATCCATCGTCATCCTACCATCACCAAAATCTATGCAGTCAGGCGCGTCAGAAAAAAGACAGAATCTAAGGGGCATGCACTGCACTGCACTGCACCGACTGAAATGAATGTTCGTTGTTCGTTGGTTTGCTAATTTATTTGTTCGGTCGTCGATTTCTTTGATGGAGGCTGTATGGCTCCCCTCTCTCTCTCCCAGCTTCGGGGTCGCCAGAGCACGATTTCCCCTTTTAATCATTTTGCTTACGAGTTCCCTTCTTGTCACTGCGACGAGGACAATCATCAAGGGCTTTTCTGCTGTATGCCATTCTGAGTACGAGGCGGCCATTGTGATGGTTATTTTATCGGGGTTTGTTGCGATTTTTTTTTGTTATTGTTTATTTTTTTCTCGCTCCCTTTTTAGCGGATTGAATTCTAGGGGTGAGTAAGCATTGCGGATCAGGGGAGGTGTAGGAATGTGTCTTGGTTGATTGCGATTCTCGTAACCATTTGGATACATTGCACGGCTGCGCGACCATTGAGACCGGGGGGGCGGGGGGGTTGAGAGTTTGTGATTTAAGAGGGAGGGAATGGGCGGGATTAGTAGTAGGAAGCAGGTGCCGTTTTGTTAACTTAAGGCGGAGATCTAGAGTTTTTTTGTTTGGTCAGGAATGGTGGTTCGTGGTGCGCGTTTTAGTTCGAGGTTTTAGACCTTGGAGCTGCCTTTAAGTTGCGCGGTGCATTGAAGATGGCGCCCTTCGTGGATGTCAATGGCGGGAGTGTCGAGGGTGGAGGTATGGAGTACGAGAAAGGAAGGAAATTTAGCGTTGAAGAGGTTGCAGCGCACAAAAATACGAACGACGCGTGGATAGTGGTTGACGGAGAGGTTTACGACGTTACGGCATTTTTGGAGACTCATCCTGGCGGTGCTGAAGTGAGTAGAGAGCTTTTTCCAATGTGCTTATTTGCAGTGAACATTCTGAATCTAAGAAGTCATTTAAGAAACTCTACTTTCTTGTCCATGCGTAGAGGGCTTTGAATGAGAATTGGAGACTAAGACTCTGCGATGCAGTTCACAACCCTGGAGGAAAATGTCGACTATCTTGTGCTCTTAGGGTGGTTTTCCAAGTTCTTCATCCTTTTTTGCATGTGTCAGCACCGAAGTGTATAGGTCATCATATGAATGATTTGATTTGATTTGATTTAATTCACTGGTAGTATTATAATCATTCTACACCTCTTAACAATGTCTCCATCATAAAGCGTCAGAATACTCTGAAGCTCTGTGATTGTTATTGTTGGTTCTACTATACTGGTTAAATCTCAGTGCCATGTACATAGATGAAGGTTTCACGTTTCGCGTGAGTCCACTTAATCAACATATTTTTTCCGAAGCTTGGCTTGAGAAGCATTTTGTAGTCGACTTGCCACCTTTGAGCAATCTACTTGATAGTTAGAGAGATTACTCTAATTTTCTGCAAGTTCTTTGAGGTTCTCAGTCTCTTTTTAGGCGTTCGGGGTTGTTTTACCTTGTTTCCAGTAGCAAGCGCGCTGTGCCTAAAACGTGCCATTCTTATCCTTGTTGAGTTTTGCTTACAAATGGAATTTGGACTCGATAACCGTAAAAGATTTTGAACGATATTGCTTTAATCTTGGATTTTGACGCTTTTATGTGTTTCTCATACTGTAGAAAAACGTGGCCATATGGGGTGCTTCCGGCCGAAGTGTGGCATAAGCGTGTCCATAGACTTTGATTGATAGCTGGCCTGTAGAATCTTACTTTGTCGAAGATGCCAATTCATTTTAAAATACCCACAAGGAAACATTCGCGCCTCACTTGTTTGCGCTAGCTCGTTAAGGAGCACTCTTTCCTCGGATACTACTCATCAATCTCCTTGACTGCCAGTTACATACTTATGCTGGTGTACGCTAACTTGACTTTGGGCGTCGGGAGGCAAAAACATACTCGTGTTTGACATCTTGGATATGCGCAGGTCATTCTAGAGCACCTGAAGGAGAGTGATGTAGGGCAGCTAATGAGGGGTGCCACTAGCACCTTTGACCATGCTCACAGCGAAGCTGCATTCGGTATGCTCAAAGACTATCATGTTGGAAGTCTCGACGGCATATATTGGTAAATTGGCTAAAACTTTAGCCTTTTCTATGGTAGTATCGTACGATCTCTGCTCAGTATCTTTTGTATTTTTTCATGAAGCCTACACGTAAAGAGTCCGCAAGATTTCAGCTTAGCATATTAAGGATTTAGGTACTGGTTTCGAGATAGGCAAAATTATATATTTTTATATAAACGCACATACACATCCACATACACACATTACGCTTGCAAGGAATACGGACTGATGAAAGAGCCAATCCTAATCACATGATGTTGATGTTAAGGGACTTGGTCAGGATGAATAGTTGTTGATCTTATTTACTTCACCCAGATATTTGGTTGAATTTGTGAATATGTTTGGAGAGCAGTGCAGATTCAACGGCTATGCATCCAGCGAAAGAGGTGGATGACAAATCCAAAAAGTTTATGGTAGACTTGGGCAAGCCACTTGTTTTTCAGGTAGAAGTCTTTAGTTTCTAGTTTGTGTTGAACCGTCTGCATGCCGTATGATGTCTGAACAGATTGAAGTAATTAAGTCGGAGTTTAGAAGTGTGCTTCGTCTTTGGTTTGAAGAGAGTTACTTGATTACTCTGAGATTGTTGGGCTTGTAGCATGTTATTTATCTTCAAAATCACCAACGAATGGCGAAGTCGACTGCGACTGAATATTTTTTCATTTTATAGTCTTGAGCAACATCTGTGGACTTAAACAATTTCAATGGTTTTATCCCTGCACGAAACAGGTTGGGCATCTTGGAGACGGATACCAGGAGTGGGTACATCAACCCATCGTGCAGAAAGAGAGTCCACGATTTTTTGCCAGTGATTTTATGGAGGTATACAACCTTGGTTGGCACGCTCATTTCCACGTGGAAACGACGTCCAATATCATCAACTACTCTGCATGATTCAGTATGTCAAATCAGAATAGGAAATGTTAAATGAATAAGTGATTTGGAGTGAAGAACTCTCTTTGCTGAAGCTGTTCAATTGTTTGCAGTCAACAACGAAGACTCTTTGGTGGGTCGTGCCTTTGATATGGATTCCAGTTGTATGCTGGTTGCAAGTCATTGCCATTCGCAGGGGATTTCCTGTTGATAAGTTCATTACTACCATGCCCTTGGGCTTCCTCATTTGGTCACTTGTGGAGTATATCTTGCATCGTTTTCTTTTTCATGTGAAAACTACTAGTTATTGGTAAGTAGAGGATTACTCGAGGCGCATCTTGTCTTTTCACTCAAGTTTTTAGTTTAGCCTTGGCATATGTTATGTTGTCTCTGTTAATTTCGCTGGGTTTAGTCAGCCATTACAAGCAATAATTGAAACAACCGCATTGTGTTGAAGAGAATATCGTGTCATCAGCAGCAACGTGATGGCAGTGTTTCTAATCCGCAAGTGGTCGAATTCTTGTAGGGGAAATACGCTTCATTACTTACTTCATGGCTGCCATCATAAACACCCTATGGATGGTTATCGACTTGTGTTTCCACCAACCTTTGCGACTATGTTCGCTATACCTGTAAGTGCCTCTCCTTGAGATTCAAAATATTCGAGCAACATCATCACTTCGCATCACATGTTTTGATTTGAACTTGCGCTTCGTTCTTACTGTTGACAGAGTCCCAGTTGGGTTTTTGACAAATCTATTGTGTTTTTCACCAGTTATACGGCATGATTAATCTCATGTTTTCAAGAACTTGGGCTCCATCAGTCTTTGGATTTGGTTTACTTGGATATGTTATGTATGATGTCACACATTACTTTATTCACCATGGTTCTGCAGCAAATGATTTTACTCGGAATTTGAAGGTATGCCGACTACACTTTTGATGCTTTATTTACGCGACTGTGTTCCAATAGTATGTTTAACCGTTGGTAATACTCGCCTCGATATCTTATTTTCTTTACCAAGTTTCTGGAGCATTAGGCCTAAGGACTCGTCAGAGACTACTGAGTTGCATAAAAATTCATTCCGAGTCATAATATGAAACTTTGTTGCAGCGATTTCACCTCAACCATCACTTCAAAATGAGGGAAGATAGCTACGGCATTACATCCCCGTTGTGGGATTATGTATTTGGCACCCTTCCGGCTAAATTGAAATATGAATCCAGTGTGCTAAATTGAAGCCCGAAATCTTCATTTGAATACTTCGGGTCTCCGAATGGACCTAGATGCCCGAGAAATGCAGTCGGCGGATTAAAACAGGTTATTGAGGTCATGTTGCTTCCAAACTGCTTCCAGCACTGGACGCTGTGTACTATTACTGGATGGATTCCTGAGATCCTCGCTTAGTCCTTGAGGGGTAACAATGACACATGGCAGTGATATCAGTAGTTTGATTTCTGCGTGTCATATTTTACTTAAAGAAATTAATATCTTAGTGCAGTATTGTCCATTGTTCATTACACTTATTATTTGGAAGCTGTAGGGAACGTGTCTTCTTAGATGGCGTGGGAAATGAACATTTGTGTTCTGCACACTTCATCTCATGCTGTGCGTAGCATGCACGGTACAACTTTCTTTGGATTTTCTTAGAATAGCCAGCACAATTCTTTGTAAAGATATGAGACAAATGTAAGCAGTGTGCCAGAATAAGGTGGAAATAAAGCTTCTCCTTGCCAAATGTGGTTGTTGGAGCAAATGGTTATTCGTTTGTTTTGTCCACGTGGTTGTGTTTTCTAGCTGATCTTTGTAATTGGCATATTAAGAAGAAAACAATTTATCCACATAAACTTTCATTAATAAAAAAGTTTGATTTGATGAGAGTGCCTCATCAACTTTTCAAACCATACATCCTCATGCATTATCAGGAATTACAAATTTGATGTAACATATTTATATCAAATTTGTAAATCAGAAAAAAGTAAAAAGGTGAGTGTTACCTTTTTGTAATTTTTGAATACTTGAGCTACAAAAACATTATTATGGTTCCCCAGACTTGTAAAGAACTTGTTTCAATCAACATTATAGAGCAGCAAGAGAATTTTAAGTGTAACATTCTCAAAAACATAATTCAATTATTTGGTAGTTAATAAGAAAGTTTATGAAAATCTTGTGCAATTAATGGATATCTATCTATCTATTCTACTTCATAAACTTCAAGTCTTGTTGTCAGGGAGTTCATGATTTCAAAATATTCAATGTTTTTTAAATACATTTTTATCTATATTATTATTAAAAAAACCACAAAAAAACTAAAAGCTATGGTTAAAATTTTAAGTTATTATAAACCATATATATTATAATTTAGAAGTATTTATAAGTTGCAAATGTCTTATTAGAAGGAAAGTTATAAAAATGGAGTCTTAGTAAGTCTTGGAGGCAATTACCTTAGTTAGTTTAGTATTTTTTTTTTTTTTATTGTTAAGTATTAAGAGTTAATTATTGAGACCAATGTCTTCATCGGCTCCCTATCTACATGTATTACTTATAAAATCCTATCAATGATTAGATAGTGGTTAGAAGAAGCATGAAAAAGAACTTCATGTCTTTGTAGTTAATTATATAGAAAATAGAATTTTTAGTGGATTTAAATTGATTTTATTACTATAAAAAATCACCAAGATAGAAAAATACAGTCTTATATGGATATTAGTATTATAGAAATATTATAGGATTTTTTAGAATTTATTTAGAATTTATTTTGGATTTTTGATGAATTTTTAGAGAAAATTTCAAGACCTTAGCAAAATTGAGTTTTACCACCTTGAGAGCTATTATGAAGAAATGAAGCAAGATTTGAAGATTATGCAAGGTTTTTAAGCTAATTGGGTGTTTTTTGAACATCGTGGTGAAGTCAAAAATGCAAAAAAAGTAGTTTTACTAGTAGAAAATAGGAGGACCAACAGCTAGTGTAGTCCTTGTAGGAAGAGAGGTGCACAATTCCCATATGGGTTGTAGCACCTTGGGTATAGGTAAGAAGATAAGACTAAGGCCTCAAGACTTTTTCGGACAACCAACATACACTACTCAAGAACCTTTGAGAGGCTCGAACTCCTGATTACTTAAGCAAGTTATCCTTGAAATAAAAATTATTCACTTAATTTTTCTATCATCTACATTATATCTTTAATCTATCATAACTTACTCATAGTAAATTGGAATTAAATGATTTTTATGTCAATTAAAAGATAAAAAAATTATCTATCTTAAAATATAATTTTTACTTTTTACTTTTACTTTTTTCTGGATGAAAATCTATTGAACAGATTGTGACTTAATTTTAGGTGTTGTGATTACTTGATTTCATTTCTTTTACTTGTATTGTGGTTGTTCCTCTTTGGTCTTTTCCCAATTGCTTACTTTACTTCACACCACCAATTACAAGCAACTCTTAATTGAGGATATCTTATAATTGGGATTGAAGAGTGAAATTTACACTCACAGGTATTAAATTTATTTTATTTTTAATGATACTCTTTTCTTTAGATTTTTGAAAGCTGATTATTGAAAACTTGAAAACATCAATATTTAATGTAATAAAAAATCATTTTTTTTAATAGAAAATCAAATTTTTTTTTATAAAAAATCATTTTTTTAATAAAAAATTAATTTTTTTTATAAAAAATCTATAACTTTAATTTCAATTAAATATGCATATAATTTAATTATATACATGATTTTTAGGTTTTATTTTTTAAAAAATTAAAAATTTAATAAAATATCTATCTTTTATATTTATTTTTATATGATTAAAAAATAATTTTTTTTTAATATTTTGTAAACATAAAAATATTTCTTTAAAAAAGATATATATATATATATATATTTAAAGATTTTTGATGCAATTAAAATATGATACTAGAACAAACAAAAGCAAAAGTTCTAATCTTTAGAAGAATCTTATCTATCAATTTTAAACTAAATTATCTATAAACAAAGAATCCCTATTTAATATTTTGATTCTAATATAATATCATGTGAAATGATAGTAGTTCCCGGTCTAACTCTCCCTGAAAAAAAATCTCTCAAAAATAGGAACTATTAGAAAGTAGGTAGAATGGGAGCCAAAGAAGATGAATATATGTAATAAATATTTACCCAACTTAAGAAGTTATATAAGTCTAATTATTTTTAGTGGACTAACTTATCTTAGTATTTTAAGAATAATCAAAATAACCTAAGGATGACAAGGGTGATGAATATAACTTAAATAAATATATAATTTTTTAGACAATATAATATGTATGGAAATAATTAATAAAATAAGTTGATATATCAATCTTTCTATCATTCAAATTAATTTATAATACCTTTTATATACTAAGACTCTTTTTTGCTATAAAGGTTTTATACACAGAAGATTTTCAAGAACTTAGTCTATTTAAGAAATCAAATAATACCATATTTTAAAAAATAGATTTTTTTTTCTATTTATTTCTTGTTTAATGTATGTAGAGCTAAGTAAGCATTGAACTTAAAACATCTTGAATCTTTTTGCCAAATTAGATTTAATAGATGAAAATAAACAAGATAATATTTATACATGAAGTAAAGTTGAAAGTTGATTTTGTAATGATAGCATGTAAATATTAAAGTAAAAATAAAAATAAAAAAATTAAAAAGATTTTATAGATATAATTCATAAGTTCACTCTCAACAAATATACCTTCTGATTCAATTCTAGAGCAAGCCAAATAAATATATAAAGTGTATTGAATGTCTATTTTTTTATGTTAAAAATCTTAAATGCATTGAATTTGATCATGTTTAAAATATTTATACTTATTTTTTTAAATATTTAATAAACATTTAGAATGACTTAAATTATAGCGGCTCTCTTATTGTAGACAAAATAACCTTTATGGTCTGAGCCATTCATGATAAGATAGCTAAGATATTATCTAAGATCACTATTCTTAATTTTTTTTTGGCATCTTTGAAAGATATTCCAACTTCTACCTTTAGTGGGTCTTCTCCCTTCACTATAGCAATTAAGTTAGCAATAGCATCTTCATTAAGAATTAAAATAAGTTTTATACTTATCTTTTAATAATACTCCACCTCTTATAATTCAAATGAGTATTCTTTACTCCATCTTCCATAAATTTGGAGCATCTCATGCTTCAAATATTATAGTAATAGTTCTACATCATACCACTTATTAAAAATAATAGACCTTTGGAATTTATTCTTCATTTATGTTTGAAATTTAAGGTTTCAATTTGGCAAGGAAATGCCTCCATCTTGTCTTGAGAATCAATCTCTAACCTTATTGCAAGGATTTTCCTCTATCTTATAAAAAATATCCACACCCAATTTTCAAATCTTCTTAGTGGTATCTAATATTGAAACAAGCTAAAAAGCCTCATCAATATCTATTACTTGCTTGAAGTCTTAAATGTGGTCATTATCCAAGTAGTTTAGTAAAAAAGATCAATAATATCAACTTTTAATATACACCATAAAAGAGACTATGTAAGTCCTTGTAACTATCTAAAGACTTAAGAATAACATGTGCCTACAACTACCACCAATTTTTACAGTTCATTGATAATCTCCTTTGGATCATTATAAGGCCAATAAGCTAACAAGCCAACAAATATAAGGATCTCGCCAACCATCAACCTAACTTCTTTGTTATTATATGCCTATGAATATAGACTAGTATAATAAAAAATAAAAAATATCAAAAAATCTTAAATAATAATACCTACAAGTAGAAAAAGATATCAAAGATAAAAACAAAAAAATTACACTAAATATTCATCCCCAACAACATAAAAGCAGAAATTACAAGTGAATCAAATAATCAACAATTGCATGTAGTTGAAGATTAGAAATAAAAATCAAACCAAAGAAATTAGTACTTGATTGCAATTAATAGTTACAAATCACAAAAACCTATAATAATAAAAGATAATTGCAATAAAAATCTAAATAAAATGAAGAAAAGAGAAAAATCAAGAACTTATTTGGAAAAAAATGATATTAAATAAATACCACTTATATGTTTTAATAATCTCTATTTTATAAAGCAAGAATATTATTAGCTTTTTTGGGCATCTTTTATATAAAAATAATTCAATAATAGTTACTTTAGGACTTTATATGGTCTTAGAGTGAACTTATAAACTTAACATTTAAGAATTATGATTTTATTTATTTATTTATTTCAAAATTATAAGCCTTATAATCGTAAATAATCTATAATTATAAAAATCCTACTATTTCGGAATCTTGTCACTATGTGGATCCTATAATTTTCATGGTTGCATATAACTATGTGGCTTTTTTTACAATGTGATGAATGTTGTTGTCATAACTACCATCAACTTTTGTTATTTATTACTACAAGCTACCAACTACTTTACTTCTATGCATGTCTATAAATAAGATTATTTTTGATTCTTGCACTACTTATCAAAGACCTTTGCAATTCTTCTTAGCTTTCAATCCATCCAATCCATTGCAACTCTATATTGCAATTGTAGTAAAAGGAGCCACAATAATTAATGCCAACTTCAGACTTAAGTATTTGGTCAACAACCAAATTACAAACTAATACAAAATAATAACTACAATATACTGTATTAATAAAAATAAAAATAAAAATAATTTTGAACCTTAATGCTATACTATCTAGTATTACATTATACCAAAATTCTATGCTATTTTGTTTAGTTCACTATTGCATATGGT